TAATATGTTTTATGCATTTCAATGACCATACACTCTGTCATCCTCGGGGTAACCCTGAATTTCTCCGGCTCCACAAAATTCAGCCCCTTGCAAATCACCGTAACCAAAAATTTGCAGATGTCTATACTCCCCAGCAAAACATCTGCGTTGATGAGTCCCTCCATTAATTTTTCTGGCCACCTTGCATTCAAACAATTTCTCCCCAGCAAGCGTGCCAGATATGGGGTCAAGATGTATATGACCTGTGAGAGGACAACAGGCTATACTTATAAGTTTTGGATTTACAAGGGGAAAGATAGTCACGTGGAGCTCCCTGGATGCCCAGACTACATGGGGAGCAGTGGCAAGATAGTTTGGGACCTGGTGTCATCGTTTTTCTATATGGGATACCACTTATATGTGGACAATTTTTATTCAAGCGTGCCACTATTTAGACATATTGTACAATCTTGGAACTGGCACATGTGGCAAAGTGTGACCTAATGTGTGTGCCCACCATTAGAAGTGGGTGTATGCAGGGCGGTATATTCTAATGGTGGGCATACCACACACTTTTTCCGGCAGAGATTTCTTCTAATTTTTTCATTCAGTCCACAGGCTGCATACAAAAAAAAAGAACATAGTATATAGCTGCAGGCATCATCCTGGTATCTTTTTTTTTTTCAGCCAGCGATCGGCTTTCATGTAAAAGCAATCCTAGTGGCTAATTAGCTGCAGGATTGCCTTTACAAGCAGCGGGAGATGATGCCCCCTCCCCCGCTGCCGTTCACGGCCTTCTTGAGCAGTGTCGTGCCATCGGGGGAACCTGAGAATGCAGCCGGTTTTTCTGCCAGCTGGCCATAGAGCTGATTGGAGACCAGAGTGGTGCCATCATCTCTATAGTCTAAGAATTCGGAAGCTACAAGCATTTCATCACTTCAGTTTCGCAGGATATAAACAGCGCCATTTGTAAATTGGGAAAGCATCTGATCACACTGATTTTGGTTTGATTAGATAATGTAAGGGCAGAGGAGATATCCAGAGTCTGATAGACTCCAGATTTCTCAAAAAAGAATATATGACAATGCCCATTGAAGTTATAGGGGATATTTGCATTCCCTGTGATAGCATTAAAAGTGATAAAAAAAAATGAAAAAAAATGAAAGGTACAATGTAAAAAATTATTTAAAAAAAACCAAAAAATAGCTATAAAAAAAAATTAAAAATCGCCCCTCCCCATGCGCACACACCTGTGTGCACAAGTCTTGACCCTGTGTCGGTATGTAAACAGCGGTTGCACCATGCATGTGAGGTATTGCAGTGAACGTCAGATCAAGGGCAGTAATTCTAATACTAGACCTCCTCTGTAAATCTAAAATGGTAGCTTTTAAAGGCTTTTAAAGTGTTGCCTATGGATATTAAAAATGTTTGCAGTTTATCGCCATTGCACGGGGCTTGCGCAGTTTTAAAGCATGCCATGTTTGGTATCCATTTACTCGGCATACCATTATCTTTTATATTTTACCAAATAATTGGCCAATATATTGTGTTTTTGTGCATTAAAAGTAAAAAAAGTGTATTATTTTTTTAAATTTGCTTTTGAAAAATCGCTGCGCGAGTACTATGTGCCATAAAAAATTGTAGTACCCACCATTTTATTCACTAGGGTGTCTGCTTTAAAAAAATATATGTTTCAGGGTTTAAATTAATTTCCTAGCAAAAAATACTGATTTTTTTTTTTTTCATGTGAACAAAAAGTGTCAGAAAAGGCTTGGTCTTCAGGTGGTCAGAAGAGTGAGTGATGTGTGGCACAAAGCAATCAATATACACTTACTGGAATTTTTTTAACCAAAAACATGTAGCTGAATACATTTTGGCCTAAATTTATGATGAAATTTTAGTTGGTTTTTTTTTGGATATTTTTTTATGACCGAAATGAGAAAATATTTTTTTTCAAAAAATTTTTTTTTTCTTCAAAACTTTTTCTGTTTATAGCGCCAAAAATAAAACGTGCACAGGTGTTAAATACCACCAAAGAAAAGCTCTATTTGTGTGAAAAAAAGGACATAAATTTCATTTATGTACCATATTGCATGACCGCGCAATTGTCAGTTAAACTAGCGCAGCGCTGCATAGCAAAGAAATGGCGTAAATTGCAGTATCTATACCAGGGGTGGGCAAACTTTTTGACTTGAGGGCCGCAATGGGTTCATATATTTGGACCCGGGGGCCGGACCAAGAGTAGATGAATGATGTGTATGTGTCATCCATAGTAAGTATAGTAATATTCCCCCATAGTAAGCATAGTAATTCATCCCCCATATAGTAATTCATCCCCCATATAGTAATTCATCCCCCATATAGTAATTCATCCCCCATATAGTAATTCATCCCCCATATAGTAATTCATCCCCCATAGTAATTCATCCCCCATATAGTAATTCATCCCCCATATAGTAATTCATCCCCCATATAGTAATTCATCCCCCATATAGTAATTCATCCCCCATATAGTAATTCATCCCCCATAGTAATTCATCCCCCATATAGTAATTAATTCCCCATATTAATTCATCCCCCATATTAAGTCCCCAAGTCCCCCCTGTGTCAATTCACTTACCTTTGCTCCGCGCGTTCCTCTCGCCGTGTTCCCGCGCCGTTCCGGTGTAGCATGAAAATCTGTCTCCTGACGTATCTGCGCATGTGCCAGTTTCAGGCATTAGCAGCCGATCGGCGATCTCCGGCACATGCGCAGATACGTCGAGGGGGACAGATCCTCATAGGAGACAGATTTTCATGCTACACCGGTCTTCAGGGCGGACTGTGAGAGAAGCCTAGCTCCGCGGGCCGGATTAAAAGGTCTGCCGGGCCGGATTAAAAGGTCCGCCGGGCCGGATTAAAAGGTCCGCCGGGCCGGATTAAAAGGTCCGCCGGGCCGGATTAAAAGGTCCGCCGGGCCGGATTAAAAGGTCCGCCGGGCCGGATTAAAAGGTCCGCCGGGCCGGATTAAAAGGTCCGCCGGGCCGGATTAAAAGGTCCGCCGGGCCGGATTAAAAGGTCCGCCGGGCCGGATTAAAAGGTCCGCCGGGCCGGATTAAAAGGTCCGCCGGGCCGTAGTTTGCCCATTGCTGATCTATACCATAGTTTGTAGACGCTATAACTTTCACACAAAGAAATCAATATACACTTATTGGAATTTTTTTTTACCAAAAACATGTAGCAGAATACATTTTGGCCTAAATTTATAACTAACTTTGAGTTTACTATATATTTTTTCTATAGCTGAAAGTAAAAAATATCGTTTTTCTTTAAAATTGTTGGTCTTTTTTTGTTTATAGCGTGAAAAATAAAAAGCGCACAGGTGATCAAATACCACCAAAAGAAAGCTCTATTTCGTTTGGGTGAAGCATTGCATGACTGCGCAATTATCAGTTGAATTTGTGCGGTGCCGAGTAGCAAAAAGAGGCCAGGTCAGGAAGGGGGGTAAATCCTCAGGAGGGCAAGTGGTTAAAACCAAATTCCAACAACACCATTGCCCCATTAAGCGTGCATATCCCTGGAGTAGTGTCTCAGATGGCTGAACTCACACTTCCAGGCATGGCTATGTCCTGTGACCCCCCACCCATCATCACGCCAATTTTATTAATTTGATTGCCACTTTTATATGCAATTATTGATATACATATAGTTCATGTTAGAGGTCACACACAACTTTTTTAATATAATTTTGCACATTTGCATTGCGTTGCACATCTATTAGAAGTTGCGCTGCACTTTTTGATATTGATTTCACTTGAAACGTAACACTGGCTGAATCACCAGGTTAAATAAAGGGGGGAAGCCCCCCCCCATAAAAAGTAATGTAACCACCACATCTAAGAATTGGTAAACTATATTATATTATATTTTTCTTTTATGATTAATACTGCTTTAAGGATAACTGCTGAAAGTGCATTTAACATACTTTTTAAAATACAAAATTGAAAAGCTAAACAGATGTAAAACCAATTTCATTATTTTTGTGCTTATACGGCATATAAAAAAGCTAATAAGAGGTTGAATCTATGCCTTTTTCTATAATGTATGTCCTGCAGCAGCTTGGCTCAAGTGATTCTATACAGAGCATAGAGGGGTTGGTTTCAGGAGACTGTTCAAGCAGCACTTCTGACTGGCCAGCTATTTACGAGCATCATTCCCCTCAAGATCTCCCCTGCCAAGTAAGCAATACGCTGAGCATTGGTCATATGTCTAGATGCTGATCTCTAACAACATTTGTTTTTTTTTTTTTTTGTTTTTTTTTACAGCTAAAGGTAAGTTTTTGGTTTCCTTTATTCAAATTTTACTTATTTTAAGGATGTTAAGGAAAAACTACATTTCTACCTGGCTGTTTGCCAGTTTAGTTCTGTAGTTGCAGGAGGCTGATTGTTTAAACCCTGAGTGTTAAAGCAGAATTTCACCCAAAAGGGGTCCACTGCCACATTTGACACTTTTTAGGAGAGAGGGGGGAGCGGGTACCTGGTTTTGACAGGTATCTGTTTCCACCTCCGGTCAGATTCGCCACTGCGATCTGAGCTGGAAGTTCGCTCCTTCCCCTGCAGCCTTCTGGGACACTTCACAGGTCCCAGAAAACTGTGGGACAATTCACAAAGCGCAGCAGGCTTTACGCGTGCGCAGTATGAAACCAGCTGTGAAGCCACAAGGCTTCACTGCCAGTTTCCTTTACTGAAGATGTCGGCACCTGCATCTGAAGTTGAGGACATCACTGGATCCTTGGACAGGTGTGTGTCTTTTATATTAAAAGTCAGAAGCTACAGTATTTGTAGCTGCTAACGTTTAATTTTTTTTGGGGGGAGCCTGAAGCTCCACTTTGAGCACTAATTTTGTAACTACAAAGATGCCTTAATATTTAGCTGTAGATACATATACTCCATATACATATCTCCTACTGAGATATACCTATATGCCTCTGTGCCATCTCCTGTACAAATTTGCACACTTTTTTTTTTTTTCTGTTTTGCTAGGTGGATTTGGATGTAACATTACCAGGAGAAGGAGGGAAAGATCGTCCCTTTAAGGTCTCCATCAAATTTGTTTCTCGTATAAGCTGGCACCTGCTGCATGAAGTACTAACTGGAAGGTCCCTCCCCGAGCCTTTGGAACTGGACAAGCCAATAAGCACCAACCCAGTCCATGCCGTTGATGTTGTGTTACGCCATCTGCCCTCCATGAAGTATGTACAGAGCTGGAAAAACATCAATGAAATACATTTTTCATTACTTGACCACTGAAATTTTACATAAATTTGATGATGCCTAATGTAACTAAGGGCCCATTCACATCGCACCATGTGCATTTTTTTCATTACATGCATGCTGGTGCTTGGTTAAATGAATATTGTGTGCAGTGTTGGTAACATACATTGCAGTATGTGCTTTATATATATTTTTTCCCTAAACATCAATGTTACGTGCTATAATGTGTTGTGATGCAGCTGCACTGCAGAAAAATGCAACCTATCCTACAATTTTTTTTCAGCACACACCAAAGCAGCACATTGTTGTGCATTAAATCCATAGAACATACCATGTTTCCGGCGTATAAGGCGACTGGGTGTATAAGACGACCCCCTAATTTTCCAGTTAAAACCTAGGTTTTGGGCTATACTCGCGTATAAGACTATCCCCCTTCCGAGGCAACACCATTTAAAAACATCAGAGATCAGTTTCTACTGCTTTTACCTTGTAAGCACTTAACTATTTATCACCCTTCAGTTGTTCTGGGTCCTAACCATGGCACTGACCCTTAAGTTCACTTTTTCTGGACTTTCCTATTGTAGAATGCTCAAGAGACTGTCACTAAAGAGTGTCCGTGTCCTAGTTGCTCACACTCCATGCTAAGCCTAAGGTCCTGTTGCTTATACTTATTGTGGATCTTTGCCCCTCAACTTTAGAGATATTTTTGGATTGTTTGGGCATTCTATTTAACATGGTTCCTCTTCTTGTGCTGCCTCTTGAGTCTCCCATCTGAGTTAAGAGTACCTGGAATTTCGACAGGCACCAACCAGCTTCTTCAGACCAAGAAGTCTCTTGCCATATTCTGGCCAAGTTGGGAATTATCCCTTTCCCCCAACCTGGGAGAAATATCCTCATGGATGAATCTGCTTGCCTACTCCTTGAAACCATTTTTAGAAAGCAGTTTCTTGAGTCAGCAGTGATTTCTTTGTTGGTTGGCTTTTAATCTAGCCTCTTCAGCATCCCATTTGGAGATTACTAGATCTTCATTGCTGAAAGCAATGGACTTGATTTATTAAAACTGGAGAGTTCAAAATCTGGTGCAGCTGTGCATGGTGCCCAATCTGCTTCTAACTGATTGGTTTCTCTGCAGAGCTGCGCCAGATTTTGCACTCTCCAGTTTTAGTAAATCAGCCCCGTTGCGAACTTGTCTGGGTGATCTATTTTGCTACATTGGATAGTATTGGACCTTTCTTGTACATATGGTTTATTCATCCTGGAATCAATATGGGCTTCCGAATTCCCACATTCTTATGTTACCCTCCTTAAGGCCCCATTCACACCTGAGCAATTTGTAGCTTGAAGCATCAAAACAATTGAGGAGCAAAAATCAGTTCTCAATGAAGATGATTCACTTCTCCATTCCCAAGTCGCCTAAAGCTCAAACAAGTTCTGGAACTTTTTTTGTAGCTCAAATTGGGAAGATTTGAGCGTTTTCGTCAGGTTTTTACTCCCAAAGAAAGTAATGGAAATGCGCAAAGTATGCGTTTTTCCTCATAAATGTAAAAAACAAAAGTAATATATGGATAAAAAAAATTAAAACAAAATAATTACACAAATAAATAAAGATCATCATAAATAAAATAAATGAATTATATGTAATAAAAAAATTTACCCCCCAACCTTAACCCCTAGCCCTAAGAGAGAGAAATTTTTTTGAATATATATTATTAATAATAATAAAATACCCAAACAAAAAATAAATGAATAATCATTTTATACAAATTATTATACTTTTTTGTGTTTATTATATTTAATAATTTGTTTTTTGTTAGGGTTAGGGGGTTAAGGTTAGGGGTTTAATTATTTATTAATACATAATCATTTTATTGCAGTTATTAATTTATGATTTTTATTTGTGTATTTATTTTACATTTACTTATTCATTTACTATTATTATTAATACTGTTATTAACACCTTAACAAAAAAATATAAATAAGAAGACCATAAATAAAATATTAACCCCTACCCCAAACCCTAATCCTAACCTTAGACCCAACCCTTAATTCTAATCCTAACGTAGCCTTAACTCAAGCCCTTGCCCTAACAAAAAAAAATAACAATAAAAAAGAAATAAAAGCTGATGGAAAAACTAAAAAAGCTAGAAAACATAGAAACAAATTATGCAACAGATATTTTTCTCTATTGGCTAAAAAAAAAAAAAAACGAAACAAAAAAAAAAAACAAAGCTCAAAAACACTGTTTCCGAAGTAGTTGAAGATTGAAGAATGTTACTTATTCAAAGTGGTATTGGACCCAAACACAAATTTATTACCACTTAATTGTGGTGGCTGCATTAGTTGCCTATACAGCAACAAGAACAACCTTTGGACAGCATCATTGTCAAACTGTGGGGAAGGTACTGTTGGATGCACTAGCAGATTTAGGTGGCCTTTGTTAAGCTGCTGCAGCAGAAGTGTTTTTTGTTTTTTTTTTTTTTTTTTTTTTTTCCGAATAAAAGTTTTACAAATAAAAGATTACTATTGTAAGTACCCCTGTCAGTGTTAAGCTGGTTGTTTCAACCCTCTGACACGTTTCTTGGACAGATTGGTCTGATAAAGAAGTTGAAAAATAACAGACTTACAGGTCAGATCAACAGGTTAAATGAAACCTAATGTACCCTCCACTTTTAAGAATTGGTAAAGTGCAATTACATTTTTGTTTTAGGATATAATACCTCTTTAAGGAATTTTTTTCCTTTTCTTTAAATACATATTTCATTTTCTGTAACACTTTTTACACTAATTTATTAATGATTTTGTACAAGTAGCTTGTGTACTATATTACACACATACATTTTTTTTTTAACGGTTTTGAAAGTTGTAGTTTACCTAAAGAAGAGTTCCTGCCAATTTCAGTTTCCTTTCAAGCAATGTGTTTGAAACTAGATCTAATGCTATACATTGTGGAAATGTACTTGTTTTAGTTACTTTAGTACAATTAAGTATTTTACCGGTCTCATAGGTACACCCCTGTAGGACGCTCGTTCTTTTCTGCACCTGAAGGGTATGATCACCCCTTGGGGGGCGGAAGAGAAGTCTGGTTTGGATTCCATCAATCTGTCCGACCTGCCATGTGGAAAATGATGCTTAATATAGATGGTAAGTACACTGTGAATGCTAGAATGTCTCTTATAAAAAGCAAGTTTCTAGAACAATCAAATTATATTTTAATTTTAACTTTTTGCTTCTTTGATAAGACTTCCCTTATATATATCAAATCTCCTTATTTACAGCATTCTGTGTCAAAACTACAATTAAATGTAGCTATTAAAGCCTTTTTTTTGTAAGTGTTGATTGACATCCTTGACCACGATAACTAGTACTGCCCCTACACTAAAATTGTTAAGAGGCAAAATTGACTTAATGTTTCTATTCATTTTGTTTTTCTTTACCTGTGTGCAAGGTAAAGAATCATAATCTTCTCCTTTTAATCAGAATGAGTTCATTTCTAGTCTGTTAACCTCATAGAAATTCAGATCTGTAACGGTACATTTTGCCTCTCTAATAAATACAAAAAAATCATCTTTATTACTGTGGAATGCATTATATACAACCCATTTTGTCCATATAAAATAATCCTTCATCACAGCTGTCCTCAAAGCTGGTGACCACTTTTATCCCTTCACAATGTATTTAGAATGATATGCTGCCTTCATTTGGTTTCCGAGGAGACAGGAAGGCCCTTTTGCTGCACATTGTAAGAGGTTAGCTGTGTTCATGTATTTGGTAATCAGTTTGTGTGGGTGTCTCTAATCTGGAGTTTGTTGTCTTGCAACAGATGCCTGCATCAAGGTGGAATTGTACAGTTGGGAAAATGAGTTGCTCCTCATTTGAAGGATAAAAAAAAAAAAATATTTTTGTGTAAAAGAGAAGCGTTCTCTGTATGGTTTACTGCTGTGGTAATAATCTCGATTGCAATATATATATATATATATATATATATATATATATATATATATATATATATATATATATATATATATATAATATACAGTGCTCAGTATAAATGAGTACACCCCAACAGATTTGTCAGAAATCATTTTACTTTCCTTTCAGAATCGACATTTTCTCTGAGACACTATGCTGCAAAATATTCCCACAAATGCGGGCCATTGATTGCAAACAAGATTTGTTAATTTGCACAAACAGAAAAGTATTTTACTTTCTTTATTATACATTACGGGATACAGAGCATGCTATATTCATTACTATCTGGGCTATACGCCACTGATAGGTGAATGGACACTGGAAGACCGAAACAGACGGGAAGTCTTCACCTATATAGCCCCTCCTACACATGAACGTCCCACTGTTTTTTCGCCAGTGTCTTCAAGGTGATGGTCGTGATGGTCACAGAAGTTCAGCTCGCTATGAGAGTGCGATCGAACTCAAAAGGGGTCTAATATGATATCATGAGACGGCATAATCAGATCCGTTTGAATGGCTGGATGCTAAGGAAGAAGGGTCAGCCGCACATCGGAGGATAGATGAATATAGTGTGCATTTATTGATCCACAGGACATGAATACAGGACTTAACGCGTTTCACATGATCTCGTGCTTAATCATAATGGATGGTACCCAGCCCTGTGGTGAAATGGAAGAAGCAGGGATTGCCTGTAATGTGGCCATACGGCACTGAATCCTGCATAATGGAACCCTGTGCAATTGTTATCTGACCAAGGTTCTTTCCGGCAGGATGCTATACAGGCCAAATGCAGAGGCCCCAGGGAGAGATGGGGGACCGAGTCCTTGAGGGTCTTTTATGACAATGCCCGCCGTGATGGATGAAGGTTGGAACTTGGTTTATGAACAAGAATCCTGTGGCGAGGATTGGTACGTTGCTCCTTCTCTTTAAGGGAAAAATATATACATATTATGTGTATAGTAAGAGGGATACTGGTTCAGTATGTTCACATTCTAGCCACCAGAGGGCAGGAAGCCGGCATTGTGTATTTCTGTACAGAGCGCTAGTTGTGTTATGGCAGTCCTGCTTGGTCTTGTGTTTTTTGTTTTTTTTTTTTCACTCAAGAGGTATCAGTGACTCCCCCTCCATTGCTTGCGGTCGCGACATCCCTGTCCCCATGAGGTGTCTCCTGTCAGTAAGAACAACGCAGATTTTCCTGCCGGCCATTCGCGTCGCGGGATGCAGGCACAGGAATGCGCACACTGCTGGCATGCATGGAACGCGGCGTCGCATGTACTGTGGCAGCTGGAAGTTGCGGGTGGCCAACTTTGTTAAGGATATGTGTTTACATGTGGATTCCTGTCGGCTGCAGGAGGGGGACACAGAGCAGGATATTGTTGGAACATGTAAGTGCTTGATACTGGTGGCCAGGTGGACTGAAGCGTGTCTAGTGCACTTCTTGCAATTAGGCTTTAATGGCTACTAATGCTGGATCACAGATTAGCCGGATGGTACCCTGTTAGGAGAGCAAGTATGTTTTTTTTTTTTTTTTTTTTTCACAAGCCTTAGCAGTTGGATCCATTTTCTAAATAGGTGATGTCTCTCAGAAAGTGGAGTGGGGGAAACGCAAAAGGAAGAGGAGCACGTGCTCCACTGCCAGGTCCTGGGGAACCTAGCCATTGTTCTGCTGTGTAGTAGCTTCCCCTGAGAGATCAGCGGCAATATACCAATCTGAGCCGATACATTTGTCTGGTATTGTGGCGATGTTTAGTGCATCCACCTCAGCATATGTTACTGTAGACGATTTATCATCCACATTGGCTGGTTTAGAAAGTAAGGTCGCTGGTATGATTGCTTCTGTAACACGTGGAAGTAATAAGTGGGAAAGATCTCCCTCCCCTATGCCTCCTGTGCTGGAGCAAGAATGGGTAGAGAAGGCCGAGGAAGAAGTTATTGGTGAGTTGGAGGAGGGCCATGCAGAAGACTCCATGTCCAAAGGGTCCGTTCCTGAGGAGAGCCAGGCACTTTCCGCATCTCACGCCCATAGGTTACTGAAACTTCTGAGGTTGCTTACTCCTCTCTGAGGTCACTGCAGCTGCCACAGAACTCGCAGGCTTGTCCTTTGCACCCGCTGTTGGAACAAGTGATCTATGTTGACAGGAGGAACAAAAACCCTGGCCGGGTGCTTCCAAAGAGGTTTTCACTTCTGTGTCCCATAGAGGAGAAGTTTGTTAAAAAATGGAGCATGCCAGTTGTGGATGCTGCTGTTTCTTCCCTGAACAAAAACTTGATTTATCCTGTGGATAATGCTCAAGTGTTTAAGGATCCGGCTGATAACAATATGGAATCTTTGATAAAATCTTCCTTTGCTCCTGCCGAGTCTGCTGTACAGCCGGCTGTGGCAGCAATTGGAGTTTGAGTCCTTGAAAGACCAGGTTAAATGATTGTCTAGGAGTTCTTTAGGGCAGGGTATAGAGGCTGCTGAAGACATTGCAGATTTCCCCAGGCATTATGTTTTGCAGTGAATGCCTCAAAGGATTCAATATAGCAGGCTCTGTGGATGCACAGAATTCTGTGGTTGAAGAGCTGGTCGGCTGAGTTGCCTTGCAAAAAATTGCTAACTGGGTTTAATTTTCATGGCAAGCAACTGTTTGGCAAGGATTTGGGATAAATATATCCAGAAAATCTCAGGCGGAAAGAGTGCACTTCTGCGTGTTAAGGGGAGAGCCAGCCATCCACCCTTTTAAGGGATCGGGAGCATCAGGAACTAGCGCTTCATCCTCCAAGTTTAGGTGCCCACAAGCATCTAGTACTAGGGGTAAACTGCAGAGCCAGGAATAGAAGAAACACTGGGTTCAGAAGCCCTCTAAGACAGATGCTAAATCCCCCTTATGAAGGGGTGCCTCATCTCATGCAGGTGTGGGGGAGACTTAGATTATTTTCAGATGCTTGGGGAGAGGTGGTACAAGACAAGTGGGTCATTGCTACGTTTTCAAAAGGGTACAAGTTGGCGTTTTGGGTCATTCCTCCTCCCCGCTTTTTGAGATCCAACGTACCCAAAAATCAGTCAAAAAGGAATTCATTGTTTCAAGCACTTGATCGGCTATTGGCTTGGGGTGTAATTGTGGAGGTCCCAGCAAGGGAAAATTTCAAAGGCTTCTACTTTAACCTGTTCACGGTTTCTAAACCAAATGGCAGTGTAAGGCCTATTCTAGATCTCAAGGCATTAAATCGGTTTCTCAACATTCATTCCTTTCGGGTGGAATCAGTCTGCTCAGTGGTGGCTTCACTGCAAGCAGGGGACTTTCTAGCATCCATAGACTTCAAGGATGTGTACTTACATTTGATGATATTTCCGCCTCACCAAACATTTCTACGGTTTCTGGTGGAAGATTGTCATTTTCAGTTTGTGGCTTTGTCCTTTGGACTTGCCACAACACCCCGGGTATTCACAAAGGTTCTGGCTCCTGTGTTGACTCAAGGGGTATTAGTGCCAAGATATCTAGATGACCTATTGCTCAGGGAGAAGTCAGTTCAAGGTCTAAGGCAGAATGTGTCCCATGCAGTATGGTTCCTGGAATGTTTAGGTTGAGTTCTAAATTTCGAAAAGTCGGCCTTGGAGCCAGTTCAGAGCCTGGAATACTTGGGGTTGGTCCTGTATATGATTCAGTCAAAGGTGTTTCTGCCTCAGAGAAAAAGCTGGCCTTTAGGAGAAAGAGGTACCCTTCAGTGCACCTTTGCGTGAGGGTACTGGAGAAAATGGTATCTTCTTTCGAGGCGATTCCATAATCACAGTTCCACTCCAGGCCCCTGCAGAGGAACATTCTGTCAGTTTGGAAGAGGAAGATCCAGGCATTGGTTTGTATGTTTCTGAACCATGAGGTTCTACACAGTCTGGAGTGGTGGTTACAAACTCCGAATTTGAAGAAAGAGAATGCTTTTCTTCCGGCAGTTTGGAAGATCATCACTACGGATGCCAGTCTTCAGGGTTGGGGGACTGTTTTGCAAGGGGCCACTGTCCAGGGAATGTGGTCTCATCGGGAGAACAGTCTGTCCATCAATGAGCTACGGCGATACACCTTGCACCGGAATTTTAGACATCCAAGCTCCATGGGTATATGGTCAGGGTTCAGTCAGACAGTGCCACGACCGTGGCTCACATCAACCACCAAGAGGGCACCAGGAGCTGGTTG